ATTTATCTATATTACGATACTGCTCCGAAATACGTTTAAGGGAAGAATATACTTCGTCGGTCATATATTAAGGAACGGTAAGTTAACTTAACACGGATTAGATAAACCCCCACGAAGATTTAAAGTACTAAGAAGGACTACTAAAGCAGGATTATCGCGGCTCCAGGGAACCTCTACTACCACTAAGGTATTTATCGCTAATACTCAGAGATCTCGTATCTTAGTTATAATAACGGCTATCCGTCTAGCTCGACCCTCCCTAATATACCGAATTCAGTCACTCTAAGCTTTATCATATCTAGGTAATCCGTAGACACCCGACGCTTATTACCAAACCTATAGCCACGAGAAACGGAATAAGTAGTATCTTAGATAGCGGACTTATTTTATACGGCTACTAAAAGAAAAGCTAAGTTTAACTCGGGCGAGGCATAGTTAATAAAGAAGCAGAGATTATTATCTAAACGTGCTAGGGAACTCCTAGCGGAGAATATTTTAGCTAGTCCTTAGGTCTATTCTTAAAGAGGCGATAATACTCTAGCTTCTATTTACAGTTATAACCTCACCGGAGGCTCCGGAGCGACGTCTAACTATATATCGGGATTAATATCTAATTCTCCCCTACTTATAGATACGAATTCGTATAATACCGGAGTAGAACTCTCTCTAGAGAACTCGTTATTCGGCGGCCCTTTCTATTCTCCGAGGCTAATTATACACACAGGCTATAGGCAAGGTTTCACTCCCTACTCGCTACAGAGTTACTCGGATTCATATATATAGTATAAAGCTGCTTAGGAAACCGATAAATAGGATTTTAGCATCGACTTTTAGGCTTTTATAGGGGATAATTTCTTCCCTTATAAATAATACTAGTTCTTATAATTCTCTCCCTCGTTTTAAAGGACCCTCGGCACGTATAAGAATAGTGATTAAGATATAGTAGCTGCTTTTAAACGATTCCCACTAATATTCTTTATTCTAGTCTCTAGCCCTAAGCTCTCTAGGTCTACAGTTAATCTTACTAGACTATTAACTTCGTAGTAATAGAGACTTTGGCTTAAGTATCTTATATAAACCGTGGATAATAGTGGGTTAAAAAAGTAGTACGAGACTTATTATATATTAGTAGGCAGCCTTAGGCTGTTTGATAGGTTAGTAGTTAGGGGGCGGCGGGGGAGGATATCCGAAAGTCTTATAATAATAATATAAAAGGAATAAGATAGCTTTAGCAGAACTATAACGTGAATAGACTAGGCCTCTTATAGCCGTACTCCGAGTTATAAATCCTTGGAAGCTATGATAAGAGACGGAGGGTTATTCTTATACCTTCTGAAAAATACTATTAGCAGGCTAAGGTTAGGCTATCTTATAGAAACTAGTATAAGCCTGTTACGAACTAAGCATATCGTGTCTAGTCTAACTTACTCCGTCTAAAAGGTACTAACCTCCTAAAGAACTCTAATTAGAAGGTATAGCACGAGGGAGGGTAGATATATATACTATATAATAACATAGTAAAGGTAAACGGTAGCTTACAGGGACTAATTAATTCTTAGTAGAACTAAGATAGGATAATACTCTAGTTACCGGTATTAGTATATAAATCGGTCTAGCTATCGGTTATAGGCTCCTTTAGAGGAAGGCTATTCTTATACTTAATAGTCGACTAATTAAGTAAGTATAGGCGGCTAAGGTAAAGCTTAAAAAACACTAGCTTATTACTCGACTAATAGAAGCTAAAGCATATTTACCCGTATTTAGAGGACTAGCAAACTAGATTTCCTATTACGATAACGAATACGACGACTTTAACGAGGATAACGGGGACAAAGGCGAAGATTAAATATAATATCAGTGCCCGTATCTAGTATACCGATAGAGAAAGGGTTTTAATAGTTAGCTTGGCTTTTTACGATACTTTATAATATATACCTCTCTTCGGCTTACTTCTTATATCCGACTACTAATACTCGAAGCAGACGTAGAGTGCTTCGAGTTATACGTCTACTACTAAGAGTCGTTCATAAGACTTCGACCGTACGTTAAGGCATAAATACAGAGTCTGGGAACGCCACCGGAGCACAGAGAAGGACTTTTATAAGAAGGAGAGATACTCGTAGCTACGCGGGAGGGCAGCCGACTCTCTATAACGGATACTCTGCAGTAAGAGAGATACACTAAGAAGAGCGGTGACTATAGCGATTTCTTATAGTAAGAGATACGCGCTAAGATAAGAGTTAACCATAGGATTTCTCACAGGTCTTAACGCGGGATAGCTAAATAAGGAAATTTTCTTGCTCGCCCTTCCTATATTAGTGGCGATCTTGAGTCGAAGTAGCTAAGTAACCAGGTATAGTGAATATAAGGAGGGCGAGTAGAATAATTTCCTAATCTGGCCGTTTAGTATATATTAGCGCTATTAACTTCCTAATATATTGCTGTGATATGTATTTTAAGGGGGTTATTATCCTGACTCATATACGAGTAACTAATAGCTTCTATTTTCTATCGTGATCCATGACCAAAGGTCGGAAAGCAGGCATGTCAAAGACTTATAGACGGGAAATAAGCATATAGTTCGCTGGATCTCCAAGTCCAAAGCTTTAATATTGGTTCCGACAGGGGGTGGAGGAAGTATTATAGATTATAGGGGTTATAGCGTTCTTTTAAGCACCTCCTAGTATACCGGTACGGGTATAACTATAGAGAATCAATAAGTATCTACCGCGAGATGTAATAGAGGCCCTTATACCGGTTGTTGTGTATCTGCCCCTATGTTTTTTCCTGCCGCTGCTGCCTCCCCTCGATTTTTCCTGCCGCTGCTGCCTCTCCTTGATTTTTCCCGTCGCTGCCCCTCGATTTTGCCTGTTATCTCTGCTCCACCGTTTCTCTCCTGCGTCTACGCTCTAGCCTCGTGTCTATCTATACCCCTATTCCTTCTCGCTAACCCTGTAAAATAGGAGACTCCGGAACACGTAAACGCCGACGCCTTAAAGTAACTCGAAAACTCGATACGGAGTTACATAAAGCCGACGCCCGAGAAGACCTAGATATATTTATTAATAAGCCTACTGTTTTTAGTCCGAGACGCCCCGAAGTTAAGAAGTAAATAGTGCTCCGTACGGCCGAATTACTATATTCTAGCCACTATTAGGGACTTCGCCTAGGTACCGTGATTAGTATCTCCCGGGGTTATAGTAAAACCAGGATAGGAAGCCTAGAGTAGCACGTAGTAAAGTTATTAATGAAGGAAAGGATTAATCGCCTAAATAAAGGCTGCCCGCTTAATATAAATAGCTGGCTTAGCTACTATAAATACCTTTAAGCAAAACCGGACCTTCTCGTGCTCTTAAGCTTAGGTATTAGCTTACCTGTAATTTTGCTATTATCTATCGTTAACCGATTACAGAATTTATATAGGTATACGTATCTAAAGAGCGCCCCGAGCTTATTCTACGACTTATCGAGATTACTAAGCGCTATTAGCCGAAAGAAGGGTAAGCTAATAGTTACTAAGATCAGGGGTTAGTCCCTTCTAAGCTCTTACCTACCGTAAACCCGCCCGATTATAACCTCTAGATACTTATACTATAATATCAGGACCCCCCTTAGTGCTATCTTACCTATTAGTAACTCTGCCGACGAAATATCCGAGTCGGAATAACCTTACCCAGAATAGCGTAAAATAATAAGTAGAACTGCCTCGTGAATAGCCTTATAGGGATACACTAACGGATATACTTAAGCGCTAAGACTATCTGCTCCGATAAAGATAACTTGTTAGACACTAGTTCCCCTAAACCAGGCTACCTAGCTAAATTCACTAGAGTCTACCTTTTTAGCCCGTGATACGTCGTAGCCTTACCGGACTCCTCTATCCTATACGATAGCGTATACTTAGCTATTTAACTCTAAACTAGCCGAACTATCGTTCTCGCCCACCCTCTCCCCCGCTAAGGAGCAAAGTATCTACTAACCAGAAGAGTACGGCATAAGTCTGGTCGCGCGTTAATGCATAATAGCGCCGCAGGGTGTTTATCCTATTACTATTTCTACTAGCGATTCCCACGACTACCTCTTGTATTTATTCCGGCCACTATCGCTATCTGCCGCTAGTAGTAGCCGATTAGTCGACCCCGGGGCTATCGCTATAAATAGTCTCCCTGCTACTTCTAGTCCGGCGTATACGGCTCGGATATCCGAACCGTTAACCTTTGCAATTCCTATAACCCTCTCTATCCTAAATCTAATAACGCCTATTCGAGCTAACGAGTCGATATAGTTTAATAAGCGAAAACATAAATTCGTCCAACCAGAACAATCTTTAATTTCCTAGGATCTACTCCAGCAAAGATATTATAGACAAAGACCCTAGCTCTAGCTCATAACGTAGCGGAGGGTTCCGGACACGGCTAAGTCGATTATGTTTACCTTAAAGGGGAATATCGACGGCCTAAAGGACCTGTTTAGCCGAGGACTAGCATCTCCTTAGGACGTGAGCAATTCTCGAGGGTTTAGCTTAATAAGAGTAGGTTTCACTACTCTTACTTAAATAAGCTATGGAATAACGCTAAGGATTTAGTGGGCGCTCTATAGTGGGATATACTAGTATATCACTATCCAGTTTTTAGTCGATAATAGGGTACCCGTGGATAACGAGTAAGTGTAGAATTAATACTTAGTAGCGCTAATTACGTTAGTAAAGGCTAAATAACGAACCACCCCACTTTAGGTTATACGAGCACGTATTTGATTTTAGATTCCGCGGGAAATATAGTAATACGGAGTGTAAGACTCTCGGGTGTATTAGATCCAGCCAGGGTAAGGACTGGATTAAGGAGTAGTAATTTCCTCTGCTTTACTAAATCGTCTTTAGCCTATCCTTTTATTCGCTCGTAGCCGTGCTCGAGGAGAACCCGAACACCGTCTATACCACGGACGCCCAGGGCCGTACCGCGCTCGATTAGGCTATAGCCCGAGTATAGCTAAGCGATATAAGGCTTCTGATAAAATATAGCTCTAGCGTGGACTCTATAGATCGTAGTGGCTATAGCACGATCCTATACGTAGTCGATAGTCACGATAACAGAGCCGTCCGTATCCTCCTCGAAGCCGGCGCGGACCCTAACCCCAAAGTGCCGGAGGGTCTATTCCGCAGCAGCCCGCTAAAGGCGGCTAGCTTTAGCGGCCGGGCCGAGATAGTCAAGCTACTCCTCCACTATAGGGCTGAAATCAACGCGTGCAATCCAGAGGGCTACCCGGCGTTGTATATAGCAGTTATCACTCAGAACATCGACTATACGCGTATATTGCTTGAATCGGGCGCCAGCTTAGAGGACGTGGCGCACAACGGACGGACTCCGCTCACGCTAGCTATTATCCATAACAGCCACGCGATACTAGAGCTATTAGTCGAGCATGTCACTACCGCCCACGTAGAAGGGCCCTAGGTGCTGGCCGTGATAGCCGAGCACGCGGACGTAAAGACGATGTCGATTATCGTATCGTCTCTGCCGCTAAAGCTGTCTCTTAACCCAGAAAGGTACGGCTTTACCGCTGGCCGCGAGATCCTACGGCAGCGGACAGACTACGACGAGAGGCTAGACCACGCGTTCGAGGAGATCTTATCCTCTATTTCCACGGCTAAATAGGAGACCGCCGCCTCCTAGCCGGTAGACGGTAACGCCTAATCCGGGCTGCTACGCCACTTCTCTACGGAGCCGTTATTTAGCGAGGAGCTAGCGGGGCAGTTATACTAAGTATGGATAGTATTTAGTAGCGGTAATACTCCGAGTCTTATTACCTTAGTTATTACTAAATAGCACCTACTTATACCTTTCCCGCCCCGCCCTACTATTATAAGCTAAGCTTTACCGATTCCTCCGAGTATTCTTTATAATATCGCGTTTACTTTCTTTATCGTCGCCCTAGTTTATTAATAAATAATATATTAACTAATTATCTTTGGTTACTATTAATACTTATAAGTTGGGGAGTCCGAGGTAAAGAGTAGGGTAGGCTTAGCCCTACCTAGAGTGGCCCTACCTTTATATATATATTTTAGCTCCCCGCGAACCCCTTATATTAGCCTCTATATTACTTCCCTCGCTTTCCACCACCCCTTACCGCTTTAACCTTGCTTACTTTCCTGGCCCTCCCTTAGGTATAGTATCCCCTACTACCCCGCTTTTATAATCAACACGCACTAGCGTATATAAATCTCTATACTAGATATCGCGCGTTATTACCTTAAAGGTTTCCTCCTATCCTCCACTATCCTATAGGTATAGTATACCTAGTATTATATCCGACTAAGACGCCCTAACGCCGCGTGTATTCCTTATACGTTATAGTAAGTTCTATATTTAATTAAGCTTAGAAGAATAGTAATATTACGTTTATCTTCTATATACCGTGCTTTTCGATAATAAACTCCTTATAATTAGGAGAAACGACTTAGGCTAAGTCGGGCCGCTATACGGGTATTATAGATATTAAACTCACCGCGGAGGGCGCCGCGTAGGTCTCCTTAACGGCGGTAACTTTAGTCGGCGCCGGTAAACTCCTTAACCCGTCCCGTCTTGCGTATATCTTTATTAGCCTAAGAAGGAGGATAAGAATAACGTTTAAGCTGCTCCTATCGCCTTCCTTCAGCGCCGCCGAATAGAATAAGAGCGTTACTTACACCGAAGATATTACGGAGTGGAATTATAGTGATTATAAGGGGCTTATAGCGGGGGAGATCAGAATATTGAGAAAGGAGAGGGGCCTAGACCGGGAGAGGGAATAGAATATCTGGAGGGATAGGTGTAAGGGTAAAGAGTATATTATACTAAACTTTAGGCCGTTCCTAATACCGTCGTGTTCTTTTTCTTACTTATTTATTAACCTATAGATCTATATAGTAAGTTAGCGAATATCTTAATAGACTTATCTCACGAATTCGGAAGATCTAGAGACCTTATATAAACGGGGGGAAACCCGCTAATATGCTCCTTATATATTCTCTCCTCCCTAATAAATTCTACCTCTCCCTCTCCCCTTTCTATCCCTCCGTCTTTATCTAAAAGTATAGGATTTATAGGTTATATATAGCCTTATCCTCCGCTACTTTGTAAAGCGCTGGCTCGGCTTCTTAATTAACTTCCCCCTCTAAATAATTCTGGCTCCGGGCGCGATTATAGTTTTAAGGTACGTAAGTCTCGGACTTTATATTATTTTCTGATACCAGATTATTAATAATATAAGGCGTACTAAGCTAAGCCTTCGCGTTAAGCTAATTCGCCCCTCCTAAAAGCTATAAGAATAATAATATCGACGAATTATTATTCTATGTTAGTATAATACTCTTATTTATAAGGGAGAATAGGGAAGGATAAGCGAGAGTTATAGCTATTATAGGTCGGTTCTGTTTACTACCGCCGAAAGCTATCTCTAGTATAGGAGAAGATACTCTATTAGGATAATACTCTTATAAATATTAAAATTAGCTGCTAACTAGCCACTTTCTTACCGTTATATTACTAGGTTTAAGCAGACTAGAGGCCCGCCTGTGCGCTGCACGTGAAGTTCTGTTCTGGAAAATGCACTGTAAATCCATAAGCAGAATAGTTTATAGGGACAGCGTATAGTATATGCTAAAAGTTCCGTTACTCTAGGTCCGGATAAGTTAACTAGAAAAGGCAGTTCTGATTAAGTTCCGGGTAATAAGTGCCCCTTTACTCTTTTCTATCGCTTATCTCCACTCTAGCTCGCTAATATCTGTTATAATGGTTACCCGCCTGCCTACTCCTTTTGGCTCGGGCCGTCCTCCTACTTCGGCTTAGGAAGAGTTTCGCTTCGTTCTTCGAGAGCCTGAACCAAAGGCTCTTTTCCGTGTATTGGCTATCTTTCTCGGCTTTTGTCTGACCCAGCCCGTGCATGGACTCCTACTACTGTCTGATATTATTAGGTACACCCTCTAGTCGGGCTCTCTAACTGATTCCTAAAGGGCAGCGACAAGGCTTTCCTAGACTCTTTGCTTGTTTCTCCTTTCTACCCTCGGTCTAGGTCTTATAATGTCCTTTGTTTGGCTTTTTGCTAGCTTGTATAGACTCTCCCTACGACCTAGACTATCATTGGAGTGCTCACTCGACAATACGTCAAGCAGAACTTCGTTTCACCTCTTCAGATTGCGCCACGATGCTATATGGCAACTCGAGCACCTTTATTAGCAGTTATCTTGAGACAGACTCAGAGGTGTACTGAGCAGGTTGGCCGTGGGACCTTCGGAGTTGTCTTCAAAGGCTTCAGGCAGTCCGACCGCAGACAAGTGGCGATTGAATTCGTGAGTGACCATGCATCCACAAAATTGAAAGACTCACGCTCACGATGCCCTAGGAGCTATCTAGGAACGACCCTTTGCTTAAAAATAAGCACTAAGCGTATAACCTTCTCGACAGATATAGTATAAGTCTAGAGTACCAAATGCATAATCGTCCAGGGCTAATGAGTTGCTAGAGGGCATTCCCCGCGTCTACTCCTTTGGACGACACGCCCTCCATTGGGTCTTGATCTTAGACTAATTAGGGCCTTCCCTGGAGGATTTGTTTAACCGTTATAGACGGAAGTTCACTCTTAGTACCGTTATCATAGTAGGAATGTAAATGGTGCGTGGCACGCCGCGGCCCCGAGCTATATAATCCGACTGACCTTTTCAGATATCGAGACTGGAAATGTTAACACGGCAGGTTTTGCTAAGGAAATGAGAGCCAGCCTGCGGCGGTGAGGCCAGGACACCCCTTGACAGGCCAGGGGGGGATCAGAACTGCCCGATTGCCTGGACATTGTGTCAGACACCGTCGTAACAGCAGGAACAGGAACTGCCTCGAGGGCTGCACTCTCAGCTCGGCAAGGAGAATTAGCATGGGCATGTATTTGCGTCGCGCGGGTACCTGGGTCGGGTGGTGTCGACGTGGGCAGGAGCGTACGTACCTTCTATTTTTATAGCCGGGCGAGGCAGATACAGGCAGCTATTAGACTTGGCGCAGGAGCTGGGGAATCAGCGCAATCACGCAGTTTGTCTGCCCTTGGCTAACCCTTCGGGCGCCTTGTTGCTGCCCCCTAAGTAGGTAATATCTCCTTTATTCGGTCAACATACTTCAGTTTACAGAGCGGGCCGATGTTAGAGATAGGGATGAAGATTTACTTTCCGAGCCAGGGTCTTGGATAAGACCTGGCCTTGTTGGCGGCGGCCATATCGATGCCGAATTCGCTTAAGGGCTATGCATGCAAGTCACAGAGTAGCCCCTGGCCAACTGTTCGTTCTCGGCCGGTTGTCTTGACTATAGAGTGGAGGGCAGTTGGCTGAACTGAGCTCCCGAGTACCCCTGGGCTGGGCTAAGGGCACCGTGACTAGTCTCTACTGGTGTGTATGCGCTCACACAGGTATATCCTGCGCAGAGCCTGAATATCCCCTCTCCAGAGCGCATAGTCCTAGAGACGTAAGAACTCCCACCCTGTTAGCCGCTTCGATGTAATCGATACTATTATCGGAAACCGCCGAGGACGGCTTCCGTGAACCGCTATAATAGTCTATATAAGATGGCATTAGTAGGGCAAGGGAGCAGGTATATAGTTCCTCACCCTCTACACTCTCCTCACAGTAGTATTGTTCATAAGTCTCTACCTTACCCCTTCACCTCCCAAGCATAATGGCATCGTCCGTGCAAGCTCTCCTGGGGCAAAATTTGCCTCCCGCTATATTTATCAGTGTAGAGGGCATCTCGCCTAGTCTTTCTCGTAAAGAATGGGCTCGTGATTTTCGTGGGATCGGCGCGGGCTGTCACTCGGATGAACAGACTATAGAAGAAAGACTTAGCTCGCTGTACGACGGGCAGCATGATTTCACGGAGACCATCCGGCTACAACGGCCTGTCAACAATCTCAGCGAGCCTTATGAGCTCATCGAGCACGAAGCCGACGTCGAACGCGACTTCTATAGGCACCTTTCTCTTCCCTGCCTCCTAGCATAGAACCACTTTATCGCCATCCGTGAGCGGTCACAGGCGGGTCCACCTAGGCGGACCAGTGAAAGCAAAACTATTAACCACTACTTTTCGTGGGCTATCGGAGATACTGAACGGTGTCTCTGCGCCGGCGAGTTCAAGAACTAGGGCGTTATCGTTGGGAACGAGTGGATTGGAAACAGAGAAATGCGCGACATTTCTAAGAGGCTGGGCAAGGAAATAAGAGGGTAAGCCAAATCCAACCATAATATCTACTAGGATGCCCTGACTAATGAACTGATGGAACTGATAAGCGAATAGGTACGCCTTCAAGTATGATTGCCCCCAGGTCTTTATGTTCGACTCAAAATATCTCCTGATATTCTAATTCCGGGCAAAGGAGCGCGATAAAATCAAGAGCGCAGATTATGAGGTCGATACTTGGCTAATCCCACGATCCAGACGTGATGGTGATCAATCAACGATGCGCTGGGCGTTCTACAACATGGTATGGAGGGGTTGGATGCGCCTTGTCGGCCAGCTGTCGGCGGCGATCCCAGTCCAGCTTGGATCCTATCGTCGGGAATTCGAATACTGGTCCGGCCGCCCTGTTTGGAGGAACGTACATGATCGAAGGGATAAGAGGTATTCGCATCCGGATGGCTACCAGCGTATATATGATGCCGCTCAGCGGATGTATTATTAGGTCGACCTGGATGGTACACCGGTTACCGACGCAAACGGACACGTGATATAGGACACCGTGGCCGTGTATTAATAGTCTTCGTCCTATCTACTGTTATGTAATACAGTATATAGTTCGATGGATCCCGTCTTAATCCTGTTCTACCCTTTCCTCTCGCTATTAACTTTTCTATCTTGGACACCCGTTTACTATGCACAATCTACAACTAAGATGGATAAGGATCAGGATCAGGAATTCGATAGATTCGACGGTCTGAAGGTAAGCGGTTATTTAAAGGCTTATCTTATCGTCGCTGGTTTTTTTTTTTTAACTAAGTCATCGTCCCAATCTCCAGCCATACAGACAATTTCGACTCGGTTCACGGACAATTAAAGCCACCAAGGCGACCTCGCTCAGCACCCGTCGTCAAGTCTATCGACTACATATCGAGCGCCCGACGATCTTTGACTACATCCCGATTGCCGTAGTTCGCCGGGTCCTCCACCGATTCGTCGATATAGCGCTCCCGTGGGCCAAGACACATTGGCCGGAATGGTTCCTCCCTCCGACCGTTATCCTTAAGAGGATGAAGGGCTATGACGATCCTGATAACCTACCAGACCCCGAAGATATGCGAACGCCCGAAGAGAAGTTCGAGTACGAGAAGCAAGCGTACCTCCGGCTCCGGCCGGTCCAGGGCACGGCCGTGCCCCGCATCTACGGGGAGGCCGAGTACAGCGGATTTCGGGCCCTGGTCCTCTCCGACGTTGGTGGCGTGACGCTCCACCACCTGCCCTGCGATACCGAGGTTGATGATCTGAAGGGCAAGATCGAGGCGGCCTTCCGGGGCTTAGCAGCATGTGGTGTGAAGCACGGCGACCCCGAAACACATAACGTTATTCTCGTTGACGATTTCCGTCATGCTATAGTAGTTGACTTCGAGTATGCCGAGTTCGTCGATACAGAATGGGATACATCGCCCTCAAAAGAGGATGCCTCTGCATGCTGGCATACGTATATAGAGACTAAAGCTGTCTTACTCGAGAGTCGTCGACTATCACGCATGACCCCCGAGAAGTTTGCGGCCTTGAGGCGCGAGGAGCAAAACCGTGCTGAAGCCGCAGCATTGCGATTACAGGCACAGCGGAAGCACTGGTTCGAGGAATATAAGAATTCTCGCGGGGACGAGGGGGTTCCTTATGTCGATTAGGAAGTGCCCGAACGCATAACGGGTGCGGAATAAAGTGTCGGTCTGCCGCGGATTGAATCTAAGCTACCTTAGGAATGGGGAGGGCAGATCGCTCCCTTGAGTACTTTCAGTCTACCTGTTTGTAATACCCGTTTTGTATAGGCCTACGTGTACAGTTCCTGTACCGATCCGTGTGCCCGTCCTCCCCAGTCCTTACCGCCGATTTCCCACATCGGGATTAGGCATGTGTGCGATGTGTCAATCCGCCGCCCGATTAGCTAGGGCACCTTTTATTGTCCCGTGCCCATGTGATGCGATATTGTGGTCCACCTCGCGAAAAACTCGCGAAAACTCACGAAGAGGATATGTATGCTACGTATCTCGTGGAAACCCGCGATGTGGGGCTATGGTCCACCTCGCGAAAAACTCGCGTAAAACTCGCGAAAACACTGTGACTGAACTTCCGAAGTGGATATGCTATGTATCTTAGAAACCCGCGATATGCGGTTATGGTCCACCTCGCAAATTCTTATACGTATCGTAAGTTTGAACAAAGCCTTAGGTTCCGCTCCACTTTTATTAGCTAGCCGCGGGCCGGTCCGGCCGGGTTATCGTGTTAATACCTGTAGGTAACGAAGCTGTATATCAACGCCAGACGATCACGAACGGGTGTATTATATTATATGTTTATTATTCAAGGAGCATATCCGATACTGAATCCACTCAAGGATTATGCATACAAGTCATATATTATCTCCTGGCTAATTGTTCGTTCTCGGCCGCTTGTCTTGAGTCTTGATAATCCATGGAGTTAGATAGCAGCTGGCTCCGCTAGGCTCCTGAATCTAGCGAAAGACGGCCGCGACGGTTATCACTCCGGATACAGTATTACAGGGCAGACCTTCTAGATTATTCAATATATACAGGTTATAGCAGGTTTATGGTGTAGATATTAATGTGTAATGGCAGGACCGGACGGGGATCTCTCGTTTATGCCAAAACTCGCCATGTCAAGGAGGTCGACAAGGTACGACCCACGAGACGTTCTGTCCCTTGAATGCATAAGATAATAAGCCACTAGATTATTACGGGACTGAGATATTCAGAATCTCTCCGTAAGCTTTACCCTGTAGGGTGTATAAATACGTTGTAATGTCCCCTATATAAGAGGAATCCTATTATCCTAGAACCTGCTCCTCACTAAGGTATACAGAATCGGAGAAGTAAGTATGGGTATCGGCCACCGCAGGGTGGTTAAGGGGAGTACTTTAGGCTAACACTATTCCTCGATAAGGCCGTTACTTCTTTACCTATTTATTCTTATACGTTCCAGATAAATACTATATCGACTGGTAAGCCCGTCTAGTTCCTTTCGAAGTTTCGTTATATTCTAGCGGCCACTTACCATCCAAATTACAGGCTATATCCAGTACGAATTATATTAGCCTGGCTCAAGCCATATCACTAAGCTCTCTTACAGTTACGTAACCGAAGCAACTAATAAGAGCAATAATACAGCGCTCTTATATACCCTCTCGGTGGATAAAGGTCTTCTAAGTTCCTGCTACCGTTACGGCTCCGCCCGGACTTAAACTCGTGGCCAAAACTCCTATAATAACATCAACCAAGGAAAAGAAAGTCCATAACAGTCTCCAGTATTATGGTCGACTCTCCTAAGTCCTACTACGGCGGATATACTAAAGGGGATGACTTAGAGACGATCTATTACGATAAGAGCGTTATTAATAGTAACGACTCCTCCGACTAGGAAGACTATATTAACGACACTGATCAGAGGAGCATAGACGATAGGATTATATTCTAGCGCGTTAACTCTAAGACTAAATTAACCTTATATCGCTCTCTTATTACTCTTATACTAGAGTAAAACGACCGAGCCACGAAGCTTAGTAGTATCGCTTTATAGTCGACGTCGGATATTCCTCGCACTCGGTCTAATCAGGACCCTAGCTTACGGGTTTCCCCTGATAACTCCGATAAGGCTATCATAGAGACAACGGGATATAGCCAACTCCAGGCTACTATCTCTCCTCGTACTACTCGTCGTAATATAATTATAACCGAGTTAAGCGAATCGCTCCGCCATAACTTGCTTCGGGAGCGCCGGGAGAAGTCGTCTATAGCCGATACCGTGCTTAAGCGCTAACGCGCCTAGCACGACGAAGTCAGCCTTAAGTAATATCCCGAGAAGGCCTATTTCGACCATAAGGCAGCTAATAATCGATTCTTAAAGGACCTCAAATCACAAAATTATCATTTTAAGGGCTGGTAGGATAAAGAGATACTCTTCAGATAGATCTTATACAATATAAACAGATAGTCCAGCAGCGTACCCCGGCTGACCGTATACCGGGATCAACACGATACATATAACGTCATTTCCTTAATATCTCTAAGTCGAGCTTCTCAAGTTACCTTTCACGATTATCCTTCTAGCTGCTTATATATACTGGCCATGTCTCTATCCGTGTATAAATCTCCGTTACCCCTTATATTAACTATGAATTATCCTTGGGACTTAGGAGCACTCTGTGTTTATACTATATATAGGCCTTAAAGAGATTCTCGGTCTTAACGACTTCTCCTCGAGACTTATAGCTAGGGAAAGGACAGGGTACTACGTTACTATCTCTCGCCCTTAGATATACCTGGACGTGTTTCTATATTATCGTCGTCCTGGTGAATTATTTCCCACAGAATATATAAGGAGATAGACGTTTCCGTCCATAGAATCGTGAGGGTAATATGATAGAGTGAACGAGAGGGCCGGGTATCGCTATCTGAGAAGACTTAGAAGAGGACTCGCTGGTAACCGCGGAATAAGTCGTCGGTTTAATGGGCAAAGTATTCGATAAGCAGGTCGGTAAGATATATAGAGTCGATGGTAGTGCCGAGTTAATTAGGAGATATACTTCTCGTATAAGTGAGGTATATGGCGTCTTACGCGGTTTAGAATGTACTAGAGGTGGCTTAGGGTTACGAGGCGTGTCTGGTAGAATAATTGGTGGCTATAGAGGGGATTATTTCACCTCTACTACCTAAGTATAGGCGACCTATGCATCGATTATATTAATCTTCCGACGCACTAACTCCTCCTCCGAGATTTAGTTATCTAAGTCGCCGAGTAATTCGGTAATCCGCTTCCGTTAGAGAACTAAGAAGGTGATTTACTAGACCGGCTCGCGAGAACGGTATACGCCGAGTAGTTACCGGTCGAGTTCTTCGTCGTTTTTTATCTTAAAATACTGCTAACGGGTAATCTCCTCGATCCTTCGGCGGTGTTTCTGTCTCGCAGCTCTTAGCTGCCTCTATAGCTCCTCGCATACCGTCTTATCGTCTCCCGTTACTAGATTAGCTCGACTATACCGGAGCTCTAGTATAGCCTGGAGCGCGGATATTTCCTCCTCTAGCCGACAAACCTCGGTATTTGGACCGATAGCGCGTATTATCTCGTCCGTCACGTTACTAGGGGTATTCTCGTCGTATTAAAGACCTAGTTGGTTGAAGATAGCGAGGTATAAAGACTTGGTGCCGCGGCCAAGGAATGCATCCTGAGTTATAATATTTATCCGAGCGTTGTTATAGTGGTCCTGGAAAGTGTCGTTGTTTTCATGCCTTGCTATCTATCTCCGGACAGTAGAGCGGCAATTCACTAGTAGTTGAGTCTGTGAGATAAGCCTTCGGATGTACGTAGTGGATAAACTTACTATTAATTGCCTCAAGGTTTCCCCGACGATAGTCATAGGCTTTAAGGTTGTCTAGCAGCCCTGCTGCCCGCCCTAGGTTCTTGGACCAATTATTAAATTAGTGCTTTGTTAAAGCGTCGTTAGATTTCGTGAACCCGCTTATAGTTTTAATAGATCGCCGAAAGACTAGTAATTGCCAGAACTCCCTCTTCTATCTGACCTGAACCCCAGGGAGACTGATCCGAGTATTAAAGAACGGCTTAGCACTTGAAAATCCTTCTTTCTTAATAACCCCTTTTACTAAAGCTTTCGCCACGATATAGGATACCGGATAGATAACAGGGAGGTCTTCCTCGATGAAAATAAACTTAGTTAGTCGATGCTTCCGGTCGTAGCCCTTATAGAAACGAAGGAGGACGGTTATTATAAGACGGTCTCTGCCCCTATTATGGAAGAGATCCTAAAGAATCCAGAGTTAGATATCCTCCTAGTATAGGACTTTCCTCTCCGGACTAATCCTCTTATTAACCTTACTATATACCTAGTATTCCTTCCATTATAATCGTGCCTAAGCTTCCGGATTTATTAAATCGCCCTCCTCGCTAAAGTCGGAGTAAGCGTCGTTCTTATCGTGATATTCCTTTAGGTTTAGACTTTGCTTTTTATAATTTATATAGACAAACTCGTGTATTCGGCCACCCGTAAATATAAGAAGCTGCCGAATAGTGGTATCGTCGAGACGGTTAAGGCCGATATTGAATATAAGCTTCTAGTCCCGTACCTAGTGGAAGTATAATAGGTAAAGAAAAGCGTCCGGCCTAATATGATTCTTAGATTACGGTTCGGTCCGTAATCTCAGCCGACGCTTAAGTATAGTACTAGCATAGTCGAGGAAATGAGTCTGGAGCTACGGGTCGATCGATTAGCTAGTATATTTTTTATACACCGCCCAGGTCTATAGTATATACCTCTGAATAGTAGAGAAAGCTTTAATTTTTATATCCTTCCTGTTAAGAAGGAACCGAGTAAAGGCTTCGATTAACCCTTTATTAGCGTAGGATAAAGTCTTTAACTCCTCTCTCTAGTCCGAAATACTAATAAAGGCGCAGAAATTTACCTATCTTTGCTGGCCGGATATAAGATTACACTTGTATATATGTGAGTGTGTAGGCCGGATAGGACGGCGGTTATTACCACGGTTCCGAGTCTCCTGGAGCTCTGCCGCGGTGATGCCTCTGAGTGACTACGGCTCCTGCTCTGCTAACTCGGCTTAGATAAGACTAAGGAGGTGCGTGTCTATCTTTGATTCTCTCTAACGACGTTAGCTAAGTAAACGAAGTTATGTTTCGAGACCGTATACCTTTGAAGAGCGTCATTAAGTGAATAGTAGAAAGCAGCTTAAAGAAAAGAGCGGCATCCGTAGCATCTCAATGCCATAGCGCGGAGTGGTTTCAAAAACTTTATTATATTTACCGTTTTCTGTATATTATCGTCGGCGGGCGGC